ACTGAAGGCTCTGCCTCCCATTCTACTTTTAAATACTCTAGGAACAACAAGTAGGCCTGCAGAGCGAGAGCGAAGTGCTCTAATAGGGTGATATGGTAGTACCATATCACCCTATTAGAGCAAGGTCATTAAGATAAGATGGGGCCTGATTATTTAAGACCTTGTATGTGAGGAGCAGGATTTTACAGCTGAGCTCTTCCTTCATGTGTCTGAGAAGCTGAAGTCGGTTGTAATGGCAGCGACCGGCCAGCAGAGGGCGCCGTGCGACAGACCTGTGGTGGACCAGCTGCTCCCTCAGCTCTTTAATGAAGAGTCAGGATGAATAATAAGAACTTGGATATAAAGCACAGAGATTTTACGACATTTTTCTCTTGACTGTTTTCACGGCTTTGGCCTGTAATTCGTCGTGCAGTTCTACCGTCAGGGCGGTTGGTGGGTGGAGTCATGCACCAGGTTTTACAATATCAGGCTACTGACAGCTGCACAGTCTCAATAATACAAACTTTAATCTTCAATACAATTTTAGTTGTGAACGTTGGACACTGATGATTGTCTCTGACCCCAGTTGCTCTGTTTATTATTATACAACACAAAGTAAAGTGAAATTTTATTTACTTTATTGTTCAGTTTATTATGTGATTCTGATCAAACGTGTCAACTTGTTCGTATTCTCAGTTTAAAAACACAGCAGCACTCATTTTTCTTTCACTCAATAAAAAAGCAAAGACAGGGAAGCAGAAAAAAGCTGCGAGACGTCCTGGTTTGTTGGATCAGGTCCTCGGTGAGGAGATCAGAAGTATGGTGTGGGGTCGCTCCTGTCGCACATCTGGACGTGGATGTGTGAGGTGATTCCCGGATAAACGCTCTGCATGGGCAGCATGGTGCCGATCCTCTGCCCCTTCCTCACCGTTCCTGAGGTTCGGTCCGGCCTCACGTAGAACAGCTTGAAACAAAGACCTGCAGGACGCAAACGCAACGCCTCGATCAGTGAATCAGTACCAGGATCAGTAACTCTGTTAGTGCTGGCTGCGCGTGATGACCCACCCTGTCCTGACAGGTTGATGCCCTCGTTGATGGCTGCCTTACTGGGGTCGGTGTAGACGGTCAGTTTCCCGTTAAGAGTCACGTCAAACGGAGCGTAGACAGCGGCGCCGTCGCTGCACTTGATGTCCAGCCCTTGGTGGAGTCTGGTCCCCCTGTAACCAGCAGACATCCAGCTGTGAGCAGCTGTGCCACATCGTCCACACCAGCCTTACAACAAAAACGTGATCTCTGAGTACCGTCCGGCTCCGTACTGTCCCTGTCCCCATCTGTCCGACGTCCTCCGGCTGTTGCTCGGGTTACTGCTGCACAGCTGACCGAACTTAACGCCGTCACACACCCACAAAACAGCTGGACACACACAGATTTAGACTTCCAGCTTAAGTGTAACGTTAATTAAGATTTTTAAGTTAATTAATTTGTAACGGTTCATATCATTACGTTACTAAATTTAATCATTTTATTCCCTTATTATTCAAATGCAAAGTTAAAAAACAAACTCAGATCTTCAAATAATTACAGATAAAAGTTTATGACATTTCTGAATAATCCCAAAACCTCGAGGAAAGTTTGATGTTTGCATTGTGGGGACCTGACGAGTCTCCCTGTCCTCAGTGAGTCCTTATGAGCCGGTCCCCGTAACACCACAAAGGTAAGTTTATGTTTGTAACAATCAAAATAGTTTTTAAACACCGTCATCATTATCGGGCATGCATGTGGAAAATCTAAAGATTGTTTTTAACAGGTTTATCATCAGTGCAGAGCAGAAAACTCACCCAGTAAAACTACGACGTGTCTCATCTTCAGGTCTTCAGATTTGATTCAGATCCTGAGTTTCTGCTGCTTTTCTCTGTTTTTATAGTCTGAATTGTGGAAACACCAGGAAACAAACACGATCAAATTATTTCACAGGAAAAACATCTTCTTCCTTCTGTGAAGCTGTAAAATCATAATCTGTATTGTAAGGTCAGAGCTGCCAGTAAGACATTAAAGTCGTGTAAAGTGTGCGGGTGGATGTGCTGCAGGTGTCATGGTCCTGAGTCTGAGGACTCAGTGTTTTGTGTTTCCTTATGCCTTTGTTCATTCCGAGTATGTATTCTGTTGTGATTTTGCCATTTGTTAGGTTTCTGTTCTTTGCCTGCCTGCTCCCACTTCTCTGTGTTCCCTCTGTCTGTCCATGGTGTTATTGTGTCTGCTTATGAGTCTGCCTGTCAAGTTCAGTGTCCTGTCTGGTTCTCTGTGTCTGTTAGTTTCCTGTTTTATTCTGAAAGTTCATGTCTCATGTCAGTGTGTTCAGTTTTACCTCTCCCCTGTCTCGTTAGCCTAATTGCTCCCAGCTGTGTCTCCCTCCTGTGGCCCATTCCCTGATTACTCCCTGTGTATTTAAGCCCTGTGTTTTCCTGTGCTCTCTGTCGCGTCGTCTGTTTAGGTCCATGTCCGGCTGCATTATTCTGTTACCTGGTATTCATTCTGCGTCTCTTTGTGCATTTTGCTCCTCCTCCCGTGAGTGTCTGGTTTAAGTTTTGTTATTTCGTTTTCCCAGTTTAGGTTTGTTTACTCCCCGCTCTACTCTTCCTGTTTTGTCACCTTCTCACCGCTGTAAATAAACACTCACTCGCACCCCAGCCAGTACCTGCATTTTGGATCCTTTTTTCATACATTACACGACTGCCCCCAGCCGTGACAGCAGGAGCCGATGTCCAACATTGAGGACAGTTTGGTGCTCGTTACTCAGACTAGACTGAGAACAGTTAACCCTCGAGATAAAACCTTGGCCGTGTGTCAGAGTATTTTTGCTTTAAAGGTTTTATTATTCATATAATAAAAAGCTAAGAGTGTTTATATTTCTGTTCTGTACTCAACCAGCTGCATATTTTAATTGCTGGCTCCCTATTTTATAACGGAAACTGTTTGCCTTCACATTATCAGTCTTTGCTTTCACATTGTCACTGTTTGCCTTCACACTAGCAGGAAACCGCCACCCACAAGAAAGAAACAACCTTGTAGAGAACACGAAGTTTTTTGATAAACCACACCTGTTTTCTTGACAAGATAAGGATGATATTTCCTTTTTTGTATGCTTCATGATGTGTATAAATAAAGCCAGACTGCACCAAGGAGGTGTGAGTCTCTCCCTGAGTCTCTCACCCGTGCACGTTTAAAACTGCTCTAAGTGTCTGAGTGATATTTCATTGCATCTGAGTACTTTGATAATAGAATATCTTTAACACCGTGTAAAGCTACTGTGAGCAGGTACATGCTAGCTGGCTCACTCTCCTGTCACGCATCATTAGTTACTTACCTTTGCTTGTTACAGTCACCTGGATAACGTGAACTTTAAGGTAAACCAGCCAATTAACCCCTCCATCCATCCAGGTGTGATTTTATTAGCAACAGCATTCATGGCCGCTGCAGGGTAGCACCGCCGCGCTGGGTGAACCTGCCACAGACACGAATCATCACATTGTGATGAATCAGCTGATCTCAGACCAGCGGACTTTTGTTCATCCTTCTCAGGATTCCCTTCATTTTATCAGTGGAGTCACAAAAGAAACCGGATCAGGACAAAACCACGGTCATGTCTGGTCATTCACCGGAGACACCGGGAACGTTTGCAGTGGTGGGACGAACCTGTCCTTAAACCCTTTGACCGTTAACCTCACTCAAACAGGATGCTGCAGCTTTTGGACACACACATTTATACACAACTAACAGTCAAAGGGCTCAAACTGCTCCAATAATGTGTCTGCATACACGACACTGCACAACCCCGCAGCCCACGCGTTGTTAATCAGTCACTGAAATGTGGTTGTGCACGGTCCAAACAGCATGACAAAGTAAAAGGATAGCGATGATGGCTCTGGCTCTTTCACAGCAGGAGGCCTGACACTGTTAACATTAACTGAGGAGGAGCCACACGACCAGCAGTAAGGCGTCCAAAGGGCCGAGTCGCTGCAGTATCCACACAGAGGAGCAGGTTTTAGGGTTTTATTGAACTGCTCGTAATCAGACGCAGCCGGCACGTGTCTGTGGAAATGTCCCGTTTTGAACTTGGCCCAGTTTTTCTAACTCGTGTTTTTATCGTGAGCTGACTGAATCACTGATCTAAACCTGGAAAGCCGGATCACAACACCCCGGCTCACATCCTCCAGCGAAGGTGGAGGCCGGTCCTCTTTATTTCTTTACAGCTCTGACTGAGAAACAGAAAGAGCAGCAGACACTGACGTTATCCAGGAAAACACGTTCCTTTTGTGCGTACACAGTTTGCAGTAAAGTGCAGTCACACGTGTACAAATGTACACGGATCCAGATGTGAGCTGTCTTTGCAGTTTGCACACATCCAATCCAACTTTATTTATAAAATCGAAGCCAAAGTTCTTTCCAGTAAAACACAGTAACATACACCTCTGTGGAGTGCGCAGGTGCAGAAGGCCTGCCAGGTACGTAGGAGCTCGGCCATTCGAATCTTTAAAAGCAAACATAACATTTTTAAATGAACTCTAAGATAAACAAGTGTTTGTCCCTGTCAGCAGGCGAGCAGCAGCATCCTGGGCCATCTGTAAGCGTCACAGTGAGGCCTGATCACACCGACATAACCTGCATCATTACCTGCATCAGCTGTGTCAACTTTCACCCCAAGCTTGGTGACGCTGATCTGATGGTGCACACATGGCTCATGCACCAGGTGTTTCACAGGTGATCACACTCAGGGTGCTAATTGGTGGAGGGCTCCACCTGCTGGCCATCTGTCTCAGAGAGATAACACTAAACGCACCAGAACATTTGCTGTTGTCTGAAATGTTATTTGCGTGGAAACCAGTGAATTAATGAACTTTGTACATTTGATTATCACGAGACATTCAGTTTCTCATCAAACACATTTCGGTCCTTCTGTCTCAGATCTGCCGGTTTTTGAAGAGTTATATTATTTATAATAAATATTTATATTAAATTTATATTAAATATAAAAGCCTTTAAATTTGTTTGATCTTATTTATCATGAAAAAAGAAAGAATCTGAAATTTGAGACAGTCAGAAATATCAGAGGACTTTAAAAAACCACACAGAGTCCAGCAGGCCATTGTTTTCATTTCAATGTGTCTTAGTCACAAAAATGGTGAAAATACTGGTTTTATTCAACCTTCATGCTCTATTAAAGAACACCGCAGACGGTCGTGTCTGTCTCAGATCTCTACATTTTCCTTTAAAGTTTGGACGTGGTCCCAGTCTTTGTTCTGGTCCTAGTCTTTGTTCTGGTCCTGATCCCAGTCTTTGTTCTGGTCCTAGTCTTTGTTCTGGTCCTGATCCCAGTCTTTGTTCTGGTCCTGATCCCAGTCTTTGTTCTGGTCCCAGTCTTTGTTCTGGTCCTGGTGTATAGCACACCCCTCGGGTGTGACACACACTGGTTGCCGTGGAACACACTGTGGTCTCTCTGGTCTGTCTGACTGGAAATGCTTGTTTGCATCACCCGACACCTGAGACATCCTCCCTTCAGTCAGCCCCACCCACCCCTGGCCCTGGGGGGAGGTAGGGTGTGGAGAACTAAGCGCTCCCTTCGCAGCAGTACTCTTTGCTGACTCTGCCGTCATCAGGTCCGGGCTGGGGGCCTCAGCGTTCACACAGTGTGGTTAATGATTGAGGGGGGGGTGTCACTCATTGACCGCAGGAACTTTTAGACCCACAGACAGAATTAGGGTGGCGGGACTTCACTGTCACTCCACTGTCACTCCACTGGGACTCTACTGGGTTCGACTCAGAGGAAGTTGAAGGACACTTTTAATCTGCTGGAGACAATCTGAGCGTCTTCCTTTCCTTCTTCTGTCCTTCTGCCACCCAGCTTCACCTGGCCGATCTCCACCCCTCATTGGGGGAGGGCTGAGTGCCCCTGGATACCTGATCACCTGAGGTCCAAGCCACACTTTTACCTTTGTTTTGCTGTTGTGAAGCAGCTGACCAGCTTCAGGTTTGCACCAGAAGCTCCAGGATCAGCCACCGTGGTGAAGCTGCAGCGATGGCTGCTGGAAAGCAGCGGGACAGCCGGGAGGCGCCGCCGGATGGCGGGTGGGGGTGGGTGATTGTTGGATGCTGCTTCATGGTGACGGTGTGCACACGTGCAGTGACCAGGTAACGCACACACGCACATCCATATACTGGTCTTTATAGCTGTGTGAGGACCCTTGCAGTCTTGGTGCACAGAGTGAGGGATCGTGGACGTCCACACCAACACTGCACACAGCCGTGTTAGTGTAGCTACAGATGATGGTGTCTGTTAGACTGGCTGTTATATCGGAGTTTACTGATTTGTGCAAACATAAAAGAGACGGGCAAGAATCGCTTCTGTTGTTTTGCATTTTGAGGTCACTTTGGGTTCATTATGGCCCTGATACACCTTTAAAGAGGCACCTGAGTGTGTATGTGGACATGTTTAAAGAGATCAAAACATTTTCAGACACAAAATCTTCAGTGAAAGAGGAATCAAAGACATGCAGACAACATTCCTGTGACATGACTCAGTAACGAGGACTTCAGGCCAATTAGAGCGAATGCCAAACAGCCTTTAACCATTCAACAGAAGACGGTCCAGAGATCTGCCCTAAAATTAAAACCAGTCTTCTCACTGTGACACAGCAGCATGTTTCTCTCACGCAACAAAAAAGGAACATTGTGTACTACTTTTAAAAAAAACCTGCTGGAGAAACATCTGCCAATTACTGAGGTTAATTATAGGGATGGGTCCCGGTATCGTTCTGACATAAACGGTAGTAACCAGACCGAAAAGCAGCGCACATTTCTTTTTTTTCCCTGAGATGTCATACACTTTGGATTCTAGCCAATCATTTTACGTTTCCGAGGATAGTAGGCGGGGCCAGGTACGTACGTTCTGTTAAAGCAGAGCTACAGATTAAAAATGCCCAAGGCGAAGCGGTCAAAAGTCTGGCTGTACTTCACAGCAAAAGATGCAAACTCAGCAGCAACAAGTGCTTTAAGCTGATACTGTGATGCTGTCAAAGGAGGTAACACCAAGAATCTGATGAAACACCTGGCGACGCATAGCGTTTTTTTTAAAAGCCGAGAAATGCGCCGTATTTGATAGCTTGCTGCGAGACCTCACACTGAGCACATCTACTGCGGGTGGGTTGCCTGTTATGCAACATCCCCCAAAAACACGAAGAGGAGAGTCCTGGCCCCTAGCCCTGCCAGTGTAGCAGAAATGATGAGGATGATGATGCAGCAGAAGCCGTTCTTCTCTGCGTGAGTAGCTTAATGTTGTTCGTGTGTAATTTACGTTGAGTAGGCTAACCACGTTATTACATTAATGCATGTAAGGTGAACTAGCAAACATCATCATAGCTACATGCGGCTGTCCTCTTGTTTGATGGCAGATACTCCCTTCACCCTGGCTAAAAAGACTAAAATGACCAAAGAAAAAGTGGAAAACACTTAAACATGAGAGGTTTAGGACAAAGTTTGTGTTTTTTCCATTGTTTAAGCACTGCTTCCAGCCAAGAGTGATACCATATATGCCCCATAGCTGCAGAAAAGGCTAACATTGTTATCTTTTTACAAAAAACAGCTGAACATGAGAGGTTTTTGGACCAATTTTGTGTTCTCCATTCTTTAAGCACCGGTTCGAGCACCGGCACCGTTTTAAAAGTACCGGTTTGGTACCGGTATCGGATAAAACCTAAACGATACCCATCCCTAATTAATTAGTGACGTGGCTGCGTGTGAAAAAGCGTCTGAGGCCTGAAGCTGGGTGGCGTGAAGTAGGGGTGGGCGATATAAACAATATATGATAGAAACGATATAAATTTGGCCAACGACAGAGATTTTGACTATATCGTGATAGCGCATGTTGATGATGTCATCAAGCTGCGCCTGTTTTAGTCGAAAGCGTCGCAGCGGCTAAAACCATTATCATCTGCAAATTATGGCGGGTGACAGTCACAGCAAAGAGATGAAGCACTTTTGAAATATGGGGAAAGCCAAAAACTGCGCTTCCGTAACATTGATTCATTAATGTTGAATTCTCTCGCAGCTGCTTTGTTCCCATGTTGTTGCCGTATATCAATAACTAACCTCGTATTGTGGATGAATGATCTCAGTTGTTCTCCTGACTGAACTTTGGCCCGTGAAGTTTGGCCCACTGCTGTTTAGTTTTCTGTCTTCATTTATGTTGGAAGTGACAGCAGAGCTGTACGTTTTAATTAGTTTCAGAAATCTCTGTCAGAACATGCTATGTCATGTTTAGGTGGAAACTAGCGAGCTAACTTCCTGCTAACTTCTAACTCCATTAAATTTAATAACTTCTGTTTTCATGGATGCCTGGATGTTAAACTTAATTGTTACACCTGGTAAAGCAGCAACGCTGATGATTTTATTAAAGATGAAAGAATTTAGACTGTTTTTAACTCTCAGTGTTCGTTTGACTTTGGGACCTGAAGCGGACGGAGTTTTGGACCCAGATTACTCCGTGAAGCTCCTCCCTACGGCAGCCGTAATGCTCTGACCATCCATCAAAACATTTTTAACAGATTTCTGCAGCCAAAATCGGTTCGAGGTCAGTAAGCACAACCAGAAGTCATACATAAGGCACACTCTCGATTTTTGAGAACATTAAAGGATTTTAAGTGTGGAAAATACGTTATACAGAAGAAAAGAATATATCGCGTTATATATCGTTACCACACGTGCTTCAAATTATACCGCGATATGGATTTTAGGTCATATCGCCCAGCCCTAGCGTGAAGCTGGGTGGAGTTCAGCACTTAGCCAGAGGATGTGTGGGCCAGAGTTCAACCGCCTCTCAGAATCACTGATTCACAATTCTGCACAGAAGTGAGAGCGCACAGAGAGCTGCTGCAGGTTTGTGGATGGTGTTTTTTGCTGGTACTTAGCATCCAAAGTTTTAAAGAGTATGAGCCTCAAACATGCCTGACGAGGTCTACAGAATTCATCCTTCTGCACAAAAAGATGCGACTTCTGCTCCGCCTCATTCACCATCACATCCACACCATCAGTCTGAACGCCCTGCATTAGGAGCATGCTCAGTAGAAGTAACTTATAATTATATTGGGCACCTGTGGCTTGTTTGTTAGAGTGGGTCATCGGTGGGACATCTCGTTTGAATGAAGTGTGTGAAAACTGAGACTGAGTAAAAAAGCACTATAAGTACCATCACACCAGCTAGTGCTACGTGTTTATAATGAAGTATTACACTCTGCAGGTCGGGGAATAACAACAGGAAAAACACCTCACAGGTATTTTCAGCACATACAGGGGTGTGTCTACAGGGGGGCATGGGGTGTGCACTATTTTACACTGTAGTTCCTCGTTATTCTGCAGATTAAGATTATTAATAAAATATTTAAGAATATGTTATGTAAGCATGCATGTAAGCATGTTTACCGCAGGCCTGCAGAGCACCAGTCAGACCAGGCAGAAACCAGAACGCACAGATTCAAAAACACACCGTTTCTCAGCACGTGACACTGATCTGAGAGCAGTCAACATCTAATTATGTGTGTGCTGGTCTCACTGGGAGATGGGGGCTATGTGTCGGGGTGAACTGGTTTTAATGGGTGGGGGAGGCTGAGCTGGCATTGGCTCCACAGTGCGTGCAGGCTGCTTGTTTCAGGTTCAGTTAATCTTAGTACTCAGATTACATTTTCCTCATAAGGAGTAAGCTGCGTGACCGGTTTTCCCTCTGAGATCGTCTCCGAACAGCCTCGCCGGTGTTTGCTCACCTTCTACCCTCAGAACGTCGTTCCAAGCTAAAAGCAGAGCTCTCCAGCAGGAGAGCGTCTTTGTATGTGAAGGACACGTGCAGCTCAAAGACTCTGGAGCTCTGCTGCTCGCTCTGCGCTCGGGGGATTTACAGCCCCACACCTCCTACACCAAACACCTGCACCGCTGCACCACCAGCAGCATCTGTGATGTTGTCGTTAAAGACTCCGCCCCCTGAGGACGGCAGAGCGGTTGACATTTCAGAAACGCCCTGACACTGCTGTCAGCCAAAGGAAACCTGCTTCCATCCAGTGATTAGTGACACTCAGCTGTGCTTCCTGGTGGACGCGTCTGACGGAGGAGTCCTCGGTGCCCACAGTGACCGGATCGTCTATGCTATTCCTTTCCTCCAAACAGGAAGTTTACCGGAGGCGCCGGGTCCGCCCTGCTGCGGCCTGGCCCCCGGGGCTGAATGGGTTAAACACAGAGACACGCGCCTCCTCCTGTGACCTTCGACCCAGATTTCCTGCTCTGACTGGAGACCGGCGCGACTGCTGCTGCAGCTGGAAAACTTCTCAGAAACATGTGTTCAAAGCTCCGCCTCCCCTCCATCAGCTCGCTGTGAAAGAGTGTGTTTGTGCGTCTGTGTGTGTGTTATGTCCTCACAGTGAGGCGAGAGAGCAGGCCCGTCCCCCATGTTTCTCACTGCAGTTATACAACAACACATTAATCCTGAAGTTATGTGTGACTGGCACACGTTACATAACACACACACACGCCTGCCCTGACTATGCTTTGTTTACAGGACGTGCCGCCTTAAACCCTCCCTACTTCCTGTTCTGACTCTAATCAGCATTAGGGAGAATGCACGTTGAAGACTTAACTTTACGTCCATCTTTATGTACAGTCTGTTTTGGGGGGAGAACTACAATTCCCAAGATGCATTTAAGCAACAAACATCCAATCAGTGAGCTACAAATCTTTGTGTGCAGCGCTTTGTGACTGCCTGTCTGTGAAAAGCGCTTAATAAATAAACTTACTTACAAAGTCAGCTGACTGCAAAAGATGAAGAAATTCTATTTAAATCTGAGCAGCAGCAAAGAATGATGGGTACTGTAGTGCACTGAAACTTTTTTCAGGGACAGTCATGGTGTGTCTCTGCAGCCGAGCGTCAAAGGTGGGGGCAGTGTTAACCCTCTCTTGTGTCTGCAGGTGTGTCTCCATCTTCTTCGTGGAGTTCCAGGCTCACTTCGGGGCCGACTACGCCGCCACCGCCTGGATCCACAGCCTGCTGGACTGCAGCACCATGCTGTGTGGTGAGTGCCGCCAATCAGACATCACAGAGTGGTTCTTGTGGTCACGTGAGGCTGAGCGTGTCTGTGTGTGCAGCTCCCGTCGGCAGCCTGGTGGGGAGCCGCTGCTCCTGCCGGGCGGCGGTGGTGGCGGGGGGCCTTCTGGCCTCCTGTGGCCTCCTGCTCAGCTCCTTCGCCACCAGCCTGGAGATGCTTTACTTCAGCGCCGGGATCCTGACAGGTCAGACTCAGACATGTCCTCCCCATCTTACAGCGGCGTGCTCTTTATCATGCTGACACGTAAATTCTGTCCGCAGGTCTGGGCTTCGCCCTCTGCTACACCCCCGCCATCGCCCTGGTGGGCTGTTACTTCCAGCGGAGGAAGGCGCTGGCGTACGGTGTCGCCATGTCGGGCAGCGGGATCGGGACCTTCGTGCTGGCTCCGGTGGTGCAGATGCTCATCGAGTTGTACTCGTGGAGGGGGGCACTGCTCGTCCTCAGCGCCTTCGTTGCAAACCTGTGCGTCTGTGGAGCACTGCTCCGACCAATAGCACTGCAGGAGGAGCAGTGTGGTAGGAGTTCTCATCAATCACATGTTCCCTCAGCGGGCCAATCACAATCAGACTCACCTGTGCGTTCTGGTGCAGGTGACATCTCACAGCAGGACGTGGAGAAACCTCCCAAAGACTCTGTGGACCTCCTAGCTCCGCCTCCTCCACCTGAAAGCTCCGCCCCCAGGCTGAGGAGGATGTGGCGCCTCCTGTCCTGTGGGGAGTACCGCTTCCTGCTGCTGCCTGACTTTCTGGGTCTGGCCGTGTCCTTCCTGTTTCTGGCCAGCGGCTGCAGCCTGCCCTTCGTTTACCTGGTGCCCTACGCCCTGAGTGCCGGCATCAGCCACCAGCACGCCGCCTTCCTCATGTCCATCCTGGGGGTCATCGACATCGTGGGGAACATCACCTTCGGCTGGCTGACGGACAGAAGGTAAGGCGAGTGTGCGCGAGGACGAACACTGACGCTGGCCTGTTCCACACGTTACAGCCTCGTTCCAGAGGGGAACATTCGACACCCACAGCGAGCGCGAGCACGTTTATTAGCCTTCCTGTGACTCTCAGGGCTCAGCGCAGGTGCTTCCTGCTTCCACTGCTCTGGACCTCAGACTAGGGTGAAGGTTCATCCTCCACCAGGTCATTGTCCTGGTGGAGGATGAACTCCATCCACACGTGACGCTTAAAGACCTGAGGCTGTACCTGCTGCCAAAGGTGCTTCAACTAGGTGCTTTGGGGTTCCTGTAGCTCAGGAGGTAGAGCAGGTCACCGATCAGAAGGTCGGTGGTTCGATCCCTGGCATGCCAAGTATTCTTGGGCAAGATACTGACCCCAGGTTGCTCTCGGAGTGTGGATGTAGTTGGAAAGTGCTTGTGTGAATGGCAGTGATTGGGTGACTGAGCGCTCAGAGTACTCCGCGTGAGTAGAAAAGTGTTAAATGAGAATCAGTCCATTTACCTGACCCAAGCTGCGAGTCGTCTCCTCCATGTTCGATTTTACTTCATCTTTGATACGTTTGCGAGAATTCAAAGCACACGTCCGGCGTGTCGCTCTGTGTTTAGGATTTTGACCTTTATTGGTGCTGCTCGGCGCCTTCGAGCTCGTGCAGGCGTGACTTCAGCATCACAGCGAGCGTCACGATGTTTGCAGGTGACAGCGATGGAGACGCCCACTCGACTTTGCAGCAGAACGCTTTCTTTTTAAAGGGACAGTTCACGCAAACATGGCTGACATTTGAGTGCTGATGCCGTCGGGCGTCCTGTTTGTCTCTCAGGTGTTTGAAGCCGCACCGCCTGGCCTGTTACGTCTTCTCGGTGGGGATGGAGGGTCTCTGCTGCCTCTTCACGCCATTACTTTGTTCGTTCCCGCTCCTCGTGCCCTTTGCCATGCTCTACGGCTACTTCGACGGCGCCTACGTGGCTCTGATCCCAGTGGTGACGTCTGATGTGGTCGGAACTACGTATCTGTCCTCAGCTCTGGGCGTTGTCTACTTCCTCCACGCCATACCTTACCTGGTCAGCCCGCCCATTGGAGGTGAGGGAAACAGCTCCACCCTCCTGCTTCATCCATCTTTAAAAGAGAAAAAACTTTAAATCCACTTAAATTTTAAATATGTGTTTAAAGACCGTGCGTCTAATTGTCCTCACAAACGTCATTGGATATTTGAAATCTGATGACATCACTCTGACATCGCCTGCTGATGATGTCACACCTGAAACTCTTCTTCTCTTTCTGCAGGCTGGCTGGTTGATGTTACAGGAAGTTACACAGCCACTTTCCTCCTCAGCGGCGCCGCTCTGCTGGCCAGCGCGGTCATTCTTTCCGCCGTCACTGGAATTCGCCATTGCCGCCATCGATCAGATTCGGTGCTGCTGCAATCTTCTGAAAACTGTCATCAGGGAACCCGAGCCCCTCCACCTCAGCCTGTCTGACCAATCAGGTGGTTTCGTCACCTTCAACAGGAAGGTGGTACCTCACAGCCCTCAGGCTGCGCTCGCTCTGCAGGTCTTGATGCTCAGTTCAGATTTTTTGATCAAATCTGATTTTTTTGTCTGCTCGTTCACACTACAAATAAAATGCGACGGCAAACGCGCTCTAGTGTGAACGCTCAGAGCGGCCGCGTGCGCAAAAGAAGACGCCACACACAACGCGCTCTGTTTACACCCAGACCAAACAGTATGTGTGACTGATGGCCTTAATGTAAAGACTGGTTTCCGACCTTACGTTTCCCAATTTTCCTTTAAGTTGTAAAGTTGTTTTGTTATTTACATTTGGCCAAACAATGATCCTTATTGCTGTTGTTTCTCCAACATTGTCTTCCCAGCAGTTTCACTGGATGGTCAGGAAGCGTTCGCCATGTCTTCTCCGGCGCTGATAGTTGGCGTCTGTCTCGTGTCAGTGACATAAAAGACGGATTTAATGCGACGTGACCATCAAACAGCAGCTTTCTAAAACATCAGATGTGTGTCGGACTCAGGACCACATACGAGAGTGACCCAGATCGGATGTGAAGATATCGGATTTGTGCCGTTCACACTGTCACACCATGATCGGATAGATGGTCGCAGAGGGTCACAAAAGTCAGATTTGATGCTTTCGCCTGCAGCGTGAACGCAGCCTACGAGAAAGGTACCAATCAGATTCCTCGACACCAAAACCAAGCAGACGGCTAAACAGGCTGACAGGTGTCAATCAAACGATGACTTCACAGGAAGTGAAATCTTTTTAGTCTGCTGAAAATGAAAACGAATGATTTTGTTTTAATGTTGAAGAAACTCACAGCTTCCTGTCTGAGCTGCCTCATTATGTGTGAGAGTGTGTGAATGGACCAGAATCATCTTCAGGTGTAACTCAGGTTACCTGTACCTGAGACAGGTACTGGTAGATGTCAGCGTGTGAGCAGCGGGGCTGAAAGCGCTGCTGATTGGTGGAGAGCGTGATGTCACAGTCTGAGTGATGCTGATGTTTGTAACGTGTTACAGGAAAATAAAAGCTGTGCCTCAGTTTGTGCCTCCTGCGTTTTCTTCATGGATCAGCTGGAGCTCTGCGGTCGTCCAGCTCATGTTAGCTTAACCCTGAAATAAACAGCGAGGACAACTTTGCTCCACCCTCCTCCACCCAGCAGGTCAGCCAGCGCAAGGAGAGGCTGCTGGTGTCAGAGCTTGAGCTGAGGAATCAGCAGCTTCATCCTGATTCTGCGGCTCACCTCGAGTCCTCGCTGCCAGCAGAGGTTATGTCATTGAAGGAGCCCCAGGTGGCTCAGGTAAGACCTCTGAAGCCACTTTATCAGACACGCCCACCCCGACACGTCAGCGTGAACACGTCAGCGTGAACACGTCAGCAGCGACTCAGAGGTCAGCGTGTTGCCCAGGGACAGAGTGGAGCAACCTTCGGCTCCGTCTCCTGAGCTACAGCCGCCTCAGGTACTCCCTCAAACACTGGAGTCTGAACCTTCATGTGACATCTCCACATTTCAGCACCAGACAGGAAGTGAAGTCACACACTGAGGAAGCTACAGTAAAACTTTATGTACAGCATGAATCCCTTTGAGTCACTGCAGACAGACTCGGAGCTCGAGCACAAACGTACCGAGGAGGCGCCCCGGCCTCCGCCCGCTGCAGGGACGGACCGAACACCGCTCACCGAGACATTTACTTTGTCTTTATGTCGACGACCTCACGTGAGTGCGGCTGAAAGAAGCTTCACCTGGACATGATTCAGCTCACCTTTATTTACATCACAGCAGTCACAGAGATCCACCTTAAACAATTCCACCTTAAATTTAAAGCCTCACAAAGGTGAACTGGTGGGTTTCTGTTTTTTTTAAAGGTCCAAACATTAAAAACAAACAAACCAACAAACTGATGACAGACGAAGAATGCCGCACATTAAAGATCGATCATGATGTCACTTCCTGCAGGTTTGAGAGCGTAGCTTCCTCTTCATGATGCTGTGGTCGCTCTCCCGATCCTCCGCCGCTGCTCCGGGCGTCTGACGGGACAAACAAAGACGCATTCATATTTAGAAACAAACAGCCGACTCCGCTTCGTGCCTCAGAGTCAGACTCCGTCTCACCGTGTGTGGCGAGTCCACCATCGGCGCCCACGGGTCCATATTGTAAAGCTTCCTGCGGCCTCGCCGGGGTTTGGTTGCCACGGTTACCGCCTCCTTCTCCACCGAGCTTATGTTTTTATCTGCAGAGAGGACGGGACGGTGAGTTCGCTCTGGAGCCGCAGGGCCTGACGAGCCTGTTAGAAACACTTCAGCTAAACTTTCTGTTGTAACATAAAATCAGACACTGTGGCAGCTCAGCGCTGCCCCCTGCTGGCGCTGGGTGGTCGAGGTGTGGCTGACCTTTGCTGCCCAGGACGCACGGTGAGGTGTGGATCGCCTCTTCAATCTTCTGCAGAGTGCATCCTCTCTCCTGCACCACAGAAGAAGAAGGAGGTTTAAGGTGAGGGCTCTGAGGACGCGTGAGTTCATCTACCTGTCGGCTGGGACGGCTCACCTGAACGCAACGGGCGTTTCCCCTCGGTTTGTTCCTCTTGTTTTCACTGTGCACCAAAACCTGAAACACAACAGCACACACATGTCAGAGCGCCTGAGACACACACAAACAAACACACTCTGGGAGGCGGCTCCACCCTGATTTATACGAAAGGAAAGAAGAAGAACGGAGCGTCAGCTTGTCGAGGTGATGCTGGTGGCGGCACCTGTCGTTCAGGAGAATACTGCGGCGGCTTCCTGCTGTATAATGGATAGACTGAGTATACCGGCGCCCTTAGACTCCTCCGTGCTGAGAAGGCTGCTGGCGGCGAGAGTCTGGCACAGTGAGGCGAGATGAGGCGGCGCTTCAGAAGACGATAAAAGTCTAACACGTGGTGATTTTAACCCGGGATGCAGTGACGGGTTAAAATCTTAATTATTCACACAACCACAGCGATAGGCTTAAATAGGCTCCGCCCTACCTCCAGCTCGCAGCTCTTCCTCTTCCTCCCTGTGGTTCTGGGAGTTTTCTTCCTGGCGGCCATGTTGGACCTAAGAGGAGAGTCTCGAAGGTCCTGAAAGAAAAGTAAAAACATAAAGCAGAACGCTCCTTCGTGAAAACCCGTCAGCATTTCTTCTTCTCTTGTACTTTTTGAGGCTGACATACCTGAGTGTCTCTCTGCTTCATCACTGCCTCACACTCCCCACTCTTCATCTTCTTGCCCCCCCCATCCTCCTCCTCCTGTCTCCTCTCCTGCAGTTTCTGGATCTCCTTCTTCAGCTCTTCCACCAGAGGCAGCGCCTCCTCCTCCATGGCCCTGTTCTCCTCCTCCTCCCTCCTCTGCAGCTCTGACAGGAAAAACAGGTCGGAATCAAACCAAAGACTCACAAACGCACACAGACACACACACACACACACAGACAC